CATATATAAGTTATATAGGTTGAGGGAAAAGATCAGAGTAGTCATGGGCAAGCCTAGAGCCAAGCAAGTTTTCTGTTAAGCATTCTGACAAATTCAGCCAGTAAAATTCAGTTTATTACATACATAGACAACAGATCACCATGATGTCAGCTTCTCTTGTCCATTGTCTCACTGGGTAACACTGAAACCAAAGAGGCCAGATAATCACAGGCAACATGAGTGTTAGGGTACCCTGTGGCTGAGGAGTAGTGGCCAGACGAAGAGAGTTTAGGGCAGTGAGTGAGAAAGAGCTTTGTAGAAGCACCTTCCACGACTGTGTATATTTCCATAGTCTGGAGGATCATGAGGCATTCTTCCAGGGCTGAGGTCAGCCTGTAGTTGAGCTTTGTCTATGTGGAGACATGTAAGGTTGCTAGGGTGTCAGTACAGAGAATTCTTGTACATTATCCATGGTGAAGGAGAAATGACAAGGTGTATTAGAACAAAAGCATGAAAAGAAGTGTTACAAGCAATAATTTCAAGTATATAGGAAATTTATGTTCTGTTGGTCTTGGGATAAGCAGTCTACTTCTGTAAAGTCTTCTGCTTCTGGAATGTAAAGATATCCTGGACATCTGACACAGTTACTTGGTGCCTTCTGAGAAATGTCTTTTTTCTGGTGATAATATCAGCTTATCTCAGGAAGCTTATGAGTAATATCTTTTAATATCATCCATCAGGAGTACTTGTATAGTCTTTTATTGAGGCTTTTGTGTTTCTTCCAGAAGACTCAGTTTCTGATCTGTAGCTTGTAACAGGAGCCTTTAGGCAAGCATAAAGAAAAAGCAGAAACTATCTGTGGAGGTAAGACTGGTTCAGATTAAGTTGTTTTAATAGCAACAATATCAGAATGGGGAAAAGTAGAATCCTTTATGAAGCAAATCAGTTTGTAAGGATTTAGTGAATAATTTACCTCAGAATAAGAACATATCATGAAAAGTGAGGGCATTGACGAATTTCAGAGTTTTAAATTTATACCACAGTGTATTAAGATTTTCTCCGGTTGTCTGCAATCTAGATAGTTAAATCTAGAGACAAAATCTTTTAAAACTTTATTATTTTTTAAAATAATAGCTTTGTTGAGATAAAATTCACCTTTTTAAAGTACACAATTCACTGGTTTTTAGGATATTCAGAGTTGTGCAGTCATACCACTATCTAATTTTAGAACTTAAAAAAAATTTTTTTAGAATATTTTCCTCACTCCATGACCACTGACAATCACTCCTCATTCCTTCCTCCAAACTACCTGGCAATCCCTAATCTACTTTCTGTCTCTATGGATTTACCTAAAAGGTAAATTCTTTTAAAAATAATTTTGTTAGTTAACTGAACAATTACATACATATCCATAAACATGAATATGCCTCTTCCTAGAAAGGACATAATCACTCTATTATTTTACATTAGTAAAAAGTCATTATTTTACATGAATAAAAAGTCCATTATAGAATTGACCTAGGTAGGAGCTTCTCTTTTTGAATTATTAATTTTCAAAAAGTATCTTGGGTTTAGTAAATAAAACAGCTTTCATAATGGTGTTGAGCTAATTTGAGATCTAGAGAATGCCAAGAACTCTTACCTATTTCTACTATCTCTTCTATTTTTTTATTTTTCACAGAGCTAGGTTAGTATCTGATACATTAGTAAGTGCTCAATCAAGAAAGCTTGTTTTGGGGGCGCCTGGGTGGCTTAGTCGGTTAAGCGTCCGACTTTCGCTTGGGTCATGATCTAGCAGTTCGTGGGTTCGAGCCCCGCGTCGGGCTCTGTGCTGGCTGCCAGCTCAGAGCCTGGAGCCTGTTTCAGTCTGTGACTCCCTCTCTCTCTGATCCTCCCCTGCTCACGCTGTCTCTCTCTCTCTCTCCTAGAAATAAATAAAACATTTAAAAAAAAAAAAAAAAAGCTTGTTTTGGTGACAGAACTAGAATTAGAATCCAGCTGTCTTCCCATGAAGTTTCCTCTTCCCATTAGGCCACACATGCTTTCCTTTTGTGCCCAAAGCTGATTTTTGTAAAGCATTTGTCAACAATTCATATATGTGGGGATAAATGTTCTTTATGTTCTTTTTCTATCCTATTTTTTTGGAACCATACAGAAATTCACAAGTTTAAATTTGTTATTGTGTGAACAACGACATGGTAAACAGGGAGAAGGGAGAAGAAAGAAAAGTAAAACACCTTTTACTGTTTTTGTCTAATGACAAAATAAATATTCTGTATTTCACAGTTAAAGAATTTATGTAAAATAGGGCATAAATTCGTATGTAGCATTTTTAGCTTGAATACTGAGGTATTTAAATAGCTCTAGTCAAAATGTTAAGTATGAATTAGTGATTTTAAGATATAAAACAATTTATGCTTTAAGGAGCTCAAGTTAGAGGAGAAAGGTGGTAAAAGAAAGGATGAATGCTCATAGGTTTTCTTGGTGCTATGAATATTTTATTATGGTATAAATATAGGCAGGAAAGTATACAGTTCTTAAATGTACAACTTGATGCCTTTTTACACATAAATATGTATGTATATATAATGATCACCACACAGATCAATATATAGAATATTTTAACACCCCAGAAGGTTTCTTAGTACCCTTTTTTTTGGGGGTAGTTACAACCCTCTAAGAGGTAATCACAATTTTTACTTCTTTCACTATAGGTTAGTTTTGCCTTTTCTTGAAATATGTATATAAATGGAATCAAACAGTACTCTCTTGTGTCTAGCTTCTTTTACTTGTAATTATGTTTATAAGATTCATCCATATTGTGTATAGCAGTGGCTAATTTGTTTTGCCTTATAGTATTCCATTATATAAATGAAGCACAATTTATTTATCCATTTACTGTTTTTCTTTACAATTTTCTTCAGATTTTTACTATTGTGATTAAAGCTGCTAAGAACATTCTATGCTTATCTTTTTGTCAATATATGCGCTCATTTTTCTTGGGCCTTAAGCTTTTATAGTGTTATAAAAAGTTCAGAACTTTTTTTGTTAAAACAGGCAGAGTGCCAAGTCTGCCTCATAAGAAAATTTCAAGTCTTCCTAAATGGATATATACCTTTCTAATTTTATAATAGAAATTGGGGAAAACTAATACTAACTTCACTACCAATTCTGGGTGGTATCATATGCCCGTTCTGTAATGCAAGGGTTATGAATATTATACATTCATCCCTTCAGTGAACAGCAGGGAACCATGCTATGGGTTAGAGATACAGCTATGAAAGAGACAGTCATAGTTTACTTTCCCCAACCAATATGTTCAGATGATTTGAACATAATGTATAGAGTGCAGTGATAAAGAAATGAGTATTGTTAGGGGAGTACTTAGGGTGACTAATCTCACCTAAACCTGGGTAGTCAGTGGAAGCATCTCAGAGAAAATGACATCTAAACTGGGTCCTACAGAATGAACCGGAATTAGCCAGGTGTATGGGTGGGGGTGGGCGTTGAAAACAGCAGGGCAATGAGAGCTTTTAAGGCAGTGTTTAAAGCTTGGAGACATGAGAAATTAAAAGTAGTTGGGTAAGCAGGGACTCCATTATAAAGGGGTTTTTGGCAATATCAGGTTTTGACATTATTCCCAGGTCAGAAGGAAATCATTGGTACTGTCTTTTTTATTATGGAAAACTTCAAACGCATACAAAGAGAATAGTAAAACAAATCCTACACATCCCACAATTCGAGCAATTACCAATTCATGATGAATATTGTTGATACCACTTTCCCCCTCCCCCAGTGAATAGTTCTGAAGCAAATTTGAGACCACCATTGAAGATTTTGAGCAGGAGAGTAACATGGTCAGTTTTGCATTTTAGAAATCACATATTCCTAGTAACTTTAAAGTATATTTACAATGCATATACCATAGTTAGTTGCTTCTCATTTGGTTCTGTTATACAGACATTTGTCTTTCTGCACCACCAGGTACTATGTATAGCAGTTTGCATTTTTTCAAACTGTATGGAAGTGTGATTAAATACTAAACTTATTTTTTAAAGTTTATTTATTTTGAGAGAGAACGAGAGAGCTCAGGCATACTCACGGGGAAGGGGAAGAGAAAGAGGGGAAGAGAGAATTCCAAGCAGGCTCCACTCTTGTCATCAAGGAAGCTCAGTCCCATGAACCATGAGATCATGACCTGAGCCGAAATCAAGAGTCAAGATGCTCAACTGACTGAGCCACCCAAGCACCCCTAAACTTATTTTATATATTTATCTTCTTATGTAGATTATTATTTAATTTGCCTTTAAACATATTGAATATTTTGGCTTCTATAACTATAAAAATGTCATAAACAATATAAAAGTTTGTTTTACTTCAGTCTCCATAGTAGCAAAGATACTAGTATTTGGAAAGTGGAATTCAAAAAGTAAATTTGTGGTTTTACTACAAATATTTTTTACAGATTCAGATTTAATTTATGATTCTTCTGTGGCTCAGTTTTTGCTATTTATCTACCTATTGAAATATATTTCTTATTGAAGTTTACTTTCATGGTGAAAATTAATACAGATCACTTTCATTTTAAAGCTATTTCATTTAAAGCTATTAAAGTTGTTCACACACCACTAAGTTAAAAATCCCTTCCTGTAATAAGAATGTTTACTTCCTAAAGTGTTTTAGTTTAATCTTTAGTTTAGTAGATGGTAACTACTAGCACTGCATTCATGCATTTATTCATTCATTTGGTGAGAGTCAGTGATCTTAAATCCAAATCAGAGGTTGGCAAATTTTTGTTGCTGAGACTGGTTCTTAGATTTTTGGAAGACTGTTCCAAAAGAAAGGGAGAATTTGCAACAGAAACCATATGTGGCCTGCAGGCCTTAAAGGAAAAATTTGCCACCCATGATCTAAATGAATATAACTCAAATTCTTGGATGTGCTTTTTTTCCTTTTGGAAGTATTGAAGATTCATTTTTAAAATTGACATTTAAAACTAAAAATTTAATTGTCTTCTACAGAGAAGATGGTGAATTAGAAGATGGTGAAATAGATGATGCAGGATTTGAAGAAACACAAGAACAGGAAACAAAAGAGGATGAAAAGCAGAAAAATGAGAAAGCCTATAGAAAATCACGGAAGAAACACAAGAAAGAAAGAGAAAAGAAAAAATCCAAAAGGAGAAAACGTGAAAAACATAAGGTTAGTTGAAATCTATTTTTAATTCTTTTAGTAAATTTTTATAAAACATAAAATACTGAAAATTAGAAAGTATAAATCATTGCTTATTTTATTGTAAACTTACTGATTAGATATTTTTATTTATGTGATTAATACATTTTCTAAACACAAAGATTATATGGATTATCTCAAAGACTTAAAAATTAAGGTAACTTTTAATGCAAGTTAAAATAAACCTTTTTATTTGATGATAAAAGGTTAAGAAAGTTTTATTCTCTACATATCTAGATTAGCAGCACTGACGTGTCCATTCATTTATTTATTTATTCATTCAAATGCATTATCATGTGCTTGCTGTGGAATTCTCTGTGCTCTATGCTAGAGTTATATTAATGAGAAACAGTCTCTATCAGAGAATACATTGAAATGGGAAGGAGAAGGCAATAAACAAATGAAAATATAATCAAGAAAAAGGAGTAGGGTGCTGGATAGAGAATAATGTTGTTTGGGATAGGGAAGAAGGCACATCTATGCTGACAAGAACTCAGGGAAACGTTGACAGCTGTAGTGGGGTAGTTTTTGAAATTCCCCCATAAAACAGAGCAATAACAATAGCAAAATCTAGAACACCTGGGTGGCTCAGTCGGTTAAACGTCCAGCTCTTGATTTTGGCTCAGGTCATGATCTCATGGCTTGTGAGATCAAGCCCTTCATTGGGCTCTGTGCTGGTAGTGTGGAGCCTGCTTGAGATTCTCTCTGTCCCTCTATCTCTCTGCTCCTCCCCTGCTTGCTAGTGCACTCTGGCATTCTCCTTCTCTCTCAAAATAAATAAATAAACATAAAAAAAATGAAGTAACAATTTATCCCTACAAACCTCAAAAATAAAAATGGATAAGGCCAAACCACAGACAGCAACAAGTCCAGTATAGGATCAGCAACTGTGCACACTGAAATAGAGGGAGGGTAATGAAACTTCCAGAAAACAAACTGTCATCTCATCTCAAATGGAGGCATCCCCCTGCCACTCAACATGAAAAGTCCATAGGCCAAACTGAGAAAAGCAGCAGAAAGTAAAAGGGGGCTTTACTAGTTCCAATTCACACGTGAGTATAAGGTGACCATGTGAATTTCAATGATGCTTGAATGGTCTGGGCCTGACGAACTCCTAATACTAATCAACCAAATCCCTCTTCTCAGACAGAATCATATACTGAGGACATAACTACTAGCAGTAGAATCTAAATTAAGAGAACAAGCATACTGGCACCAGGCAAGGAAAGAAATAGATTTTTTTTTTAATTTTTTTAAGGTTTTTATTTATTTCTAGGAGAGAGAGAGAGAGAGAAAGCGTGAGCAGGGGACGGTCAGAGAGAGAGAGAGTCACAGACTGAAACAGGCTCCAGGCTCTGAGCTGGCAGTCAGCACAGAGCCCGACGCGGGGCCCGAACCCACGAACCGCGAGATCATGACCTAAGCGAAAGTCGGACGCTTAACCGACTAAGCCACCCAGGCGCCCCGGAAAGAAATAGATTTTAAACATGAGGGAAAGAAGCAAGGGAAGCATATCTCAAGGAATATATAGCCATATTTATATACTTCATGCAAACAACAGAACAGATAATCCTAGGGAACAAGATAAAACCATGATCACATTCCACATAAGCTATTATTATTAAAAAGGGAGAATAATGGATAGAATAATACTCTTCCAGAAGAGAAAGAATTCCCATAAAACATATAAGATCTTTAACATAATATTTCAAAATGGTAAAAAAAATTAAAGCAATATAAGCTATTGTCAAACAGCATAAATACAATTTGGGGGAAACATCCTTTGGTCACATAGGCAAAAAGACCAAGTCCTTTATTGGGAAAAGAAAATCATATTTTTTAAAAAAATTTTATTTATTTTAGAGAGAGAAAGCTCAAGCAGGGGAGGAGACAGAGAAAATCTTAAGAAGTCTACATGCTCAGTGAGGAGCCCGACATGGGACTTGATCCCACGACCCTGGGATCATGACCTGAGCTGAAATCAAGAGTCCGATGCTCAACGGACTGAGCCACCCAGGTGTCCCTAAGAAAATCAGATTTATATAAAAATTTTTGATACCAATTTATGCCAAAAGCTGATGGAATGACATATTTAAATAAGATTTGGGCCAAGAATTTTGTATCCAGCTAAATACTGGCCTTCAAATATAAAATCCTCAGAAAAACTATATATGATAGAACTCAGGAACATTGTTATCATGAGCTTTCCTATAGCCTCTAAAAAGAGCAGATTTAGATAACCAAAATGACTAGTTGAGAGAGAGGGATCTATATACACGTACATATTTCCTTATAAAGCTAAGACTAAATGATGGACATAAGAGCAGTATATTATGTATCTGGACATTACAGCTGTAAAAAATATCAGGAAAAGCAGAAGAGTACATGACAAGAAGAGTAAGGTTACTGATTCCCTTATAGTTATTAACAGAGAGTAAAATGATGTTGCTTCAAATTATTATTCTGGGAATGAAAGAGAGAAAGTAGAAGAGGTTATTGGTCCTCTTGTTAAAGAAACAGTATGGAGGGGCGCCTGGGTGCCACAGTCAGTTAAGCATGCAGCTCTTGATCTCAGCTCAGGTCATGATCTCACAGTTCCTGAGTTCTGCTGTGATGGCGCAGAGCCTGCTTGGGTTTCTATCTATCCTTCTCTCTGCCCCTCCCCTGCCTGTGTGTGCACTCTCTCTTTCCCTGTCTCTCTCTTTCTCTCTCTCTTTCTCTCAATAAATAAATAAACAAGAAAAATTTTAAAAAAGAAACAGTATGCAAAGAAGGGACAGGAGTAAGGTTATTGGAAAAAGGCTGTATGAAAGAAAGAATTGAAACAAAAATACAAACTTTTCTAAATACCAAAAGGTATACTCCCCAACAATGAAAGATCCAATTCTAATCTGTGTACAAGAGAAAGATTTTAAAAGTAAGTAAAGCCATGCCAGGCAAATGCAAAGAAAGAGAAGGCAGAAGTCATAATGTTGATATTTGAAAAAGTCAAATTTAGGTCAAAAAGGCATTGGAAGAAACAAAGAAGAACATTTTATGATGTTAAAGGTTATAATTCATAATGAAATATAAGTTATTAATATTTTACATCCCCCCCAAAAGCAACTTTTGAAAACCAGGGACTATGGGAGCTGCAAGAAGAAATAGGAATATACTAATAGCAGGAGATAAATCAATATGCCTTTCTTAACCCAAAGAGATCAATCAAGTGAATGATAAGGTGGTAAGGATGTTAAAGAGAGATTATAAATATGTTGCAAGCTCCGAATCCTGAGAACACTTCATCCTCTCATCTTTATGGCCGTAGAGTATCCTTGTAAGCTCCAATTACTTTGATAGAGTGGAAGTGTTACAAAAAGCTTTGTCAAATCACAATATAATAAAACTAGGCATTACTAATAAAGTCAAACACAAAATGTCTTTTTACTTTATATTAAAATACCTACTGTAAATAGCTTGTGGAAGACAGGGAAAATGGAGTAAAATTGCAGAATTTTATGAAAATAAAATAATGAGAACAAACTCTTGACATGTAAGTACAAGTGGAGTATATCTAAAGCAGTTATCAGGAGAAAATTATAGTATTATAGTATTAAAGGCTAGAAAAGTGGCAAATCAAAACAGCCAGCGCAGAGCTCCATCTCACCAACTGTGAGATCATGACCTGAGTGAGCAAGAATTGGACTCTTAGCCAACTGAACTACCCAGGAGCCCCTCAGCATTGTGCTTGAAAATCATAACTAGATCACTTACTTCACTAGATACATTTTCTACTTTGCATGCTGTTGAATGTTGCTATGTTGTTCAACTTTCTGCCACTGCATAACGAGGATGTCCCTTCTTCCAATTTTAATAGGATATCTCTCACTTTCCTTTAAGTTGTCTCAAAGTCCAAAATTTTACTAATAGTCATTCAAGGTAGTTTATTTATTTTTATTTTTATTATTATTGTTATTATCATTATTATTATTTTGTAATCTCTGTGCCCTATGTGTCTCAAACTCATGACCCAGAGATCAAGAGTTACCTTCTCCAACAGAGCCAGCCAGACACCACTCCTTCAAGGCAATTTAGACTTTCACTAATGCTCTCCTTAAAGTCCTTCCAATTTCCATCCACTGCATGATTCCAAAACCCCTCCTGCCTGTTAGCTATTTGTTATGAAAGCACAGCATTTCCAGACACCAATATCTTATTAGTTAATTATTGCTATATAGCATATTACCCCAAACTTAGAAGTTTAAAAGAACAGCAATTTATCTCCCAGTTTTTGTCAGTCAGGAAATTGGGTGCAGCTAAACCAGGTGATTCTGGCTCACATGAGGTTGCAGTCATCTCACAGCTGGCTCAACAGAGGTAGGATTGATTCTGTTCTGTATTCACTCACATGACCCTTGGCGGGCCTCAGTTCCTCACCACGTGGACATCTCTACAGGCTGCCTCAGTGTCCTCATGATGTCAGCTGGCTTCCCCCAAAGCAGGCAACCCAAGAGTGAGAGAGAGCCGAGAAAGCATCCAAGATGAAAGCTATAGTCTTTTTTTTTTTTTTTTCCCGGAATCAAGGCTGTATTTATCTTCATTGATTGACAAGAGAACTGAATGTTTAAAGCAACCAGAGTCCACAGTGGAAACGGGGGTTGAAAATACAGAACTGGTCGAAACGACAAGGTTCAAAAGTGCAATGGACACAGGTGTGGCCATCAGGGAACAGAAAAGGGTGCTGCGGGCAGCTATAGTCTTTTTTTTATGATATAATCTCAGAAGTGATATACCATCTTTTCTAATATATTCTATTTACTACCTATTTTTAAATGTGGTCCAATTGCTAATTTCAGGTAATAATTATTACTATATATGAACCACATGTATATATTTTTTGACAATAGTATTCTTAAAGTTAATGTTTTTTAGCCTCACTTTTGGAGTAGCGTGAAGAACCTTCTCCCTTAAGCAGAACCTTCTTTTCCCTGGTGGTTTTTCCTGAGGCATTGTCGTCATCTGAGCTTATTCTTTGTTTTTGTTTGTGTTTCTTTAAGATTTTGTTTTTAAGTACTCTCTATATTCAGTGTGGAGCTTGAACTCAGAACCCTGAGATCGAGAGTTGGCATGCTCTACAAGCTGAGCCAGCCAAGTGCCCCTGAATTTCTTCTTAATCAAGTTTTATTCCTGTGTGATCTTCAAATGAAAGGTTTTCCTTGGAGCTGGAGCGCCCTTCTGCTGGTGACTTAGCAAGCTTGGCTTTTAAATAGGCAATAATTATTTCAAACCCTAACTAACAAATAATAGTTAAGTTTGAAGTATTTCATAGCATAATTATAAAAAGATTGCTTCATATCACTTATCAAATGAGCAAAAACAGAAATAGCATTACCACAAAACAAAACCTGAAAACATTTAAGAACAAAGTGGAGGAAAAGTTTGTTTTCCTTAGAAGAACCTTTAAGAATAGGGTAGAGGAGGGCACCTGGGTGTCTCGGTTGATTAAATGTCTGACTTTGGCTCAGGTCATGATCTCATGGCTTGTGAGTTCGAGCCCTGCATCAGGCTCTGTGCTGACAGCTAGCTCAGAGCCTGGAGCCTGTTTCGGATTCTGTGTCTCCCTCTCTCTCCGACCCTCCCCTGCTCATGCTCTCTCTCCTCTCTCTCTCTCAGAAATAAATAAAAAACATTAAAAAAAAAAAAAAAAAGCTGAGTCTTGATATCTGCTCATCATTATCAGTTCCTTGTGGTTTCCATTTCACTTCTGTTCAATTTTGTGGTTTGGATTTATTTCACATTTATAGTTTGGAATGTTTTGGTATCTTTTAGTTTTAGGGTATTTACGCAAAAGAAGAATTCTAAAGCCACTTTAGGTAATAAGAATTCTAAAATCATTTTAGGTAAAAATAAATCAATTCATACTCTACTCATGTTCTGTGTTCCTCTTTGAGTATCTGGTTTTATTCTTTTAAGATTAACTTAAACCTAAGATCACTTTTAAGCATAGTAGGGCACAGATCCTCAGATCACAGAGATGATGAGGATAATGTTGCCCTTAAGTGCCTAAGAAGAGGGGAAGATACACTTTTCCTCAGAAAATTTTAGAGAAGTTGGGGTGGTGGTGGCCTGTAGAACAAGGATTTTTCAGGTAATACTTCAGAACCTACTAGGATAATACTGTCTACTGGTTGGCACTTCTGGCTGAAACAAATCTATCTAGTTACTAGTTAAATGTTCTTCCTTTTGCAGATGTAACATAATTGTTTTTTCCCTTCTTTTAGCATAATTCTCCATCTAGTGATGATAGTTCAGACTACAGCCTTGATTCAGATGTTGAACATACAGAAAGCTCCCACAAAAAAAGAACTGGTTTCTACAGGGATTATGACATTCCATTTTCTCAGGTATTGCCTTTTTAAAAAATGTGATCAAATATACATAACATAAAATTTACTATTTTAACCATTTTTCAATGTATAATCAGTAGCATAAGTATATTCACAATGTTGTACAACCATCACCACCATCCATTTCTAGACCTTTTTCATCATCCCAAACAGAAGATGTGTACCCATTAAATGAGAAAACCTCACTACCCCTACTCTCCAGCCCCTGGTAACCACTGTTCTACTTTCTGTCTCTATGAATTTTCCTACTTTATAGGCATACACATGCAATCATACTGTATATATCTCTTTGTGTCTGGCTTATTTAATTGATCATAATTTTTTAAAGGTTCATGTAGCATGTATCAGAATTTCATATTTTTAAGGCTGGATAATATTGCATTGTATGGATATACCATATTTTATTTGTTGATGGACACATGAATTGCTCCCCCCCTTTGACTATTGTGAATAATGGTGTTTATGAATGAGTGAATGATATCTCTTTGAGACCCGGCTTTCAGTTCTTTGAACCATATACCTAAGAGTGGAATTACTGGATCATATAGTAATTCTATGCTTAATTTTCTGAGGAACCACCAAACTGTTTCCCAGAATGGCTGCACCGTTTTACATTTCCACCACAATGTATGAGATTTTCCAGTGTCTCCACATCCATGCCAAACTCATTATTTTCTGGGTTTTTTGTTTTGTGCTTTAGGTTTTCTTCTCTTCTTCTTCTTTCCTTTTTATTTCTTTTTTTCTTTTTTTCTCTTTTTTTTATAATAGCCATCCTAATGGGTGTGAAATGACATTCTTATAGAGGTTTTGACGTATTGCCTTCTAAGGGGAGAAATAAAATTTTCAGTTTTATTCTTTGCCTTCTGATATTTTGAAAAAATGTTTTATATTTTTCAATATAGAGAAATAGACATATGTAGATGTATGCTACAAATATTATTTTATTTTATTTTTTAATTGTATTTAAATCCAAGCTAGTTAACGAACACGTAGTATAGTAACAGTTTCAGGAGTAGAATTTAGTGGCTTATTACTTACATGTAACACAAAGTGCTCATCCCAACAAATGTCCTCTTTGATGTCCATCACTCATTTAGCCCATCCCCCCACCCAGCACTTCTCCAGCAACCCTCAGTTTGTTCTGTGTATTTAAGAGTCTCTTATGGTTTGCCTCTCTCTCTGTTTTTGTTTCATTTTTCTTTCCCTTCCCCTATGTTCATCTGTTTTGTTTCTTAAATTCCTCATATGAGTGAAATCATATATTTATCTTTCTCTGACTTATTTCACTTAGCATAATACACTTTAGTTCCATCCATGTTGTTGCAAATAGCAAGGCTTCATTCTTTTTGATGGCTGAGTAATATTCTATTGTATGTATATGCCACATCTTTTCTATCCATTAGTCATTCGATGCACATTGGGCTCTTTCCATAATTGGCTATTGTCGATAGTGCTGCTATAAACATTGGGGTGCATGTGCCCCTCAGAATCAGCATTTTTGAATCCTTTGGATAAATACCTAGTAGTGTCCTTACTGGTCTTAGGCAAGCTCTATTTTGAATTTTTTTAAATGTTTATTTATTTAAGGAGACAAAGAGACAGAGTGCGAATGGGGGAGGGGCAGAGAGAGAGGGAGACACAGAATTTAAAGCAGGCTCCAGGCTCTGAGCTGTCAGCACAGAGCCTGACATGGGTCTCGAATCCACAAACTGTGAGATCATGACCTGAGCCCAAGTCAGACACTCAACCAACTGAGCCACCCAGGCGCCCCTATTTTGAATTTTTTGAGGAACCTCCATACTGTTCTCCAGAGTGGTTGCACCAGTTTGCATTCCCACCAGCAATGCAAAAGTGTTCCCCTTTTACCACATCTTTGCGAACATCTATCGTTTCCTGTGTTGTTTAATGTTAGCCATTCTGACAGGTAGGAGGTGGTATCTCATTAGCGTTTTGATTTGTATTTCCCTGATGATAAGTGATGTTGAGTATCTTCTCATATGTCTGTTAGCCATCTGGATGTCTTCTTTTGAAAAGTGTTCAAGTCTTTGGTCCATTTCTTCCCTGGATTATTTGTTTTTTGAGTGTTGAGTTTGATAAGTTCTTTATAGATCTTGGATAGCTAACCCTTTATTGGATATGTCATTTGCAAATATCTTCTCCCATTCTGTCAGTTACCTTTTAGTTTTGTTTGATTCCTTCACTGTGCAGATTTTTTATCTTGATGAAGTCCCAATAGTTTATTCTTGCTTTTGTTTCCCTTGCCTCCAAAGACATGTCAAGTAAGAAGTTGCTGCGGCCAAGGTCAAAGAGGTTGCTGCCTATTTTATCCTCTAGGATTTTGATGGTATCTTGTCTTACATTTAGGTCTTTTATCCATTTTGAGTTTATTTTTGTATATAGAGTAAGAAAGCAGCCAGGTTCATTCTTCTGCATGTTGCTTCCAGTTTTCCCAACACCATTTGCTGAACAGCCTGTCTTTTTTCCATTGGATATTCTTTCCTGCTTTGTCAGAGATTAGTTGGCCATACATTTGTGGGTCCACTTCTGGGTTCTCTGTTCTGTTCTATTGATCTATGTGTCTGTTTTTGTGCTAGTACCAGACTGTTTTGACAATTATAGCTTTGTAATACAGCTTAAAATTTGGAATGTGATGCCTCCAGCTTTGGGTTTTTTTTTTTTTCAACATTACTTTGGCTATTCAGGGTCTTTTCTGGTTCCATACAAAATTTAGAATTATTTGTTTTGTTTGTTCTAGCTCTGTGAAGAAATTTGGTGTTATTTTGATAGGTATTGCATTGAATATGTAGATTGCTTTGGGTAGTATCGACATTTTTACAGTATTTATTCTTCCAATCCGTGAGCATGGACTGTTTTTCCATTTCTCTCTGTATTCTTTAATGTCTTTCATAAGCTTTCTATAGTTTTCCATATACATATCTTTTACCTCATCAGTTAGGTTTATTCCTAGGTATTTTATGGGTTTGGGTGCAATTGTAAATGGGATCGATTCCTTGATTTCTCTTTCTGCTGATTCATTCTTGATGTATAGAAATGCAACCAATTTCTGTATGTTGACTTTATATCATGTGACTTTGCTGAATTCATGTGTCAGTTAGAGCAGTTTTTTGGTGGAGACTTTTAGGTTTTCCACATACAGTATCATGTTGTCTGCGAAGAGTGAAAATTTGATTTCTTCCTTGCCATTTGGATGTCTTGTATTACTTTCTGTTGTCTTATTGCTGAGGCTAGGACAACGTTGTGTTGTACAACATTGGTGAGAGTGGATATCCCTGTAGTGTTCCTGACTCTAGAGGGAAAGCTCTGTTTTTCCCCACTGAGGATGATATTAGCTGTGGGTCTTTCACATATGGCCTTTATAATCTTCAGGTATGTTCCCTCTGTCCCTATTTTCTTGAGGATTTTTATCAAGAAAGGATGCTGTATTTTGTCAAATGCCTTTTCTGTATCTACTGAGAGGATCACATGATTCTTTTCTTTTATTAATGTGATGTATCACATTGATTGATTTGCAGATATTGAACCAGTCCTGCATCCCAGGAATAAATTCCACTTGATTGTGGTGAATAATAATTTTAGTGTATTGTTGGATTAGGTTTGCTAGTATCTTGTTGAGAATTTTTGTATCCATGTTCTTCAGGGAAATTGGTCTATAGTTCCCATTTTTAGTGGAGTCTTTGTCTGATTTTGAAATCAAGGTAATTATGGCCTCATAGAAAGAGTTTGGAAGTTTTCATTCCATTGCTTTTTTTGGAACAACTGCAAAAGAATAGATATTAACTCTCAAATGTTTGGTAGAATTCCCCTGGAAAACCATGGGCCTGAACTCTTGTTTGTTGGGAGATTTTTGATTACTGATTCAATTTCTTCACTGGTTATGAGTTCGTTCAAATTTTCTATTTCTTCCTGTGTTAGTTTTTGTAGTTTATATGTTTCTAGGAATTTGTCCACTTCTTCCAGATTGCCCAGTTTATTGGCTTATAATTGCTCAACCTTCTTGCTACTTTGTCCTCACATGGTCATTCTGCTGTGCATGTATACCCCTGGTGTCTCTGTGTGTATCCAAATTTCCTCTTGTAAGGACACAAATAATATTCTCTTCTTTTTATTTGTATTTCTATGATACTGGTTTTGATCCCTTCTTTTTCATTCTTTATTTTGTTTATTTGGGTCCTTTCCTTTTTCTTTTAGATAAATCTGGATAGGAGTTTATCAATTTTGTTAATTCTTTCAAAGAACCAGCTCCTGGCTTCATTGATCTTGTTCTACTGGTTTGTTTGTTTGTTTGTTTTTTAAATTTCAATATCATTGTTTTCTGCTCTAATCTTTATTATTTCCCTTCTTCCGCTGGTTTGGGGATTTATTTCCTATTATTTTTCCAGCTCCTTTAGGTGTAAGGTTAGGTTGTGTATTTGAGACATTTCTTCCTTTTTTAGGAAGGCCTGGATTACTATATAATTCCCTCTTATGACTGTCTTTGCTGCATCCCAGAGGTGTTGGACTGTCATGTTTTCTTTTTCATTGGCTTCCATGTACTCTTTAATTTCCTCTTTAATTTCTTGGTTAACTCACTCATTCTTTATTTATTTATTTATTTTTTTATTTATTTCTAGGAGAGAGAGAGAGAGAGAGACAGCGTGAGCAGGGGAGGGTCAGAGAGAGAGGGAGTCACAGACTGAAACAGGCTCCAGGCTCTGAGCTGGCAGTCAGCACAGAGCCCGACGCGGGGCCCGAACCCACGAACCGCGAGATCATGACCTAAGCGAAAGTCGGACGCTCAACCGACAAAGCCACCCAGGCGCCCCGACTCACTCATTCTTTAGTAGGATGTTCTTTAGTCTCCAAGTATTTGTGGTCTTTCCAAATTTTTTCTTGTGGTTGATTTCAAGTTTCATAGTGTTGTCATCTGAAAATATGCAAGGCCTGGTATTAAACTTTCTGCACTTGTTGAGGGCTGATTTGTGGCCCAGTATGTGATC